GAAATACTTAGCAGTTATGAAAGGGTATCTTTCACCCCTACTGAGTTAATGAATTCCGTGAGAAATGTTCAAAAACTGCCCCGTCTGTCAATAACAGAAGACGGTCGATATGTCGAACACCTGTAGCAAAATCTCATGTCTTGGTTTGCTATTTATTTTTATTGTTATTAGATATAGATTAAATGTGTTGATGTTGGTTAAATATATTTTAAATTGTTATAAAATTCTGCATTTCTCATAGCAAATATTATTTTCGTTTTAATTGATGCTCACAGCTAGAATTTTTTTGCATTACAGCCGGTGCCGTTCAAAGCCTATATACTTATTTAAAGGGGGCGAATTTTTAAATACTCTATATCTCGAAGAGGAATCGAGTAAAATATCAAGTGTGTTATATTTTTGGAAAGGCAATTTTAAATTATTTTCAATAAATTAAAAATAGGGTGTTCAATACAGGGTGTCCCATATAAAAAATCAAATTTTCTGTTGATAATTCTTAAATTATTAATTTAAAAAAAATTATACTTGAACCATTAAATTCTACGTAAAAAGGTGCTTTGGAAATGTTTTCATAAAAATACAAAATTTTCCATAGCAAAAAAGTTACAGCGATTTGTTAAAAATGCATATTTTTGAAAAACACCCCGTAACTCCGAAACGGTAACAGATATCGATATGCGGTTTTCACCATCATGTTTTTGACAAAAATTGAATTCCAGACACCGATATTAGTTTTTGTCATCTCCTATAGAAAAGGGTGTTTCCATTTAAAAGCGTCGAATTTGACCCACCCTGGTACAGAGCTAATAAAAATATATTCGAATTTTCTTTTTGCTGTTTTTCATAAAGGCCAAAATAACCGAGTTATTTTACTTTAAAAATTAAAAAAAAAATATTGTTTTACTAAATTTTCAAAATTGTTGTTTTTTCGTTTTTCTAAATCTAATTTACTATCTATATATTGTCATATTATTGATTGTTGTTGACATGTTCTTTTAACTGAAAATTTTAAAATTTTCAATTTTTTTTTAATTACAAAATTTTTATCTTTTTACAAAAAAACTTCATAGACGTGTTTCTGGAGTTTTACACTTGTTTAAGTTACCCTGTATAGTTTATGTAATAAACAGTTTGCTTCAATATAAGCGATTTCGATTTACAAGGTATTCAAGGAATGTAACCCCCGCGTTAAAACGAGGGACTTCTGTATATTTAACAGCATAAACTAAAATATTTCTGTTTATTAAGCGTTATTAATATCGAGCACATTTTCAGTCTGCGAGCTGAAACTTCCTGATTTAAGTTCGTTAATGCGACAGATGAGACCGAAACAATTAAAAGCCAACAAAAAACTAAGTAGCATTTCCTCCGTCTGTGACGTAAATATAGGCTGCGGCGTTAAAAGAAAATTACAAATCTTTTTACATGTCTCTCCCCAATCCTTTTTTTACCACGAAGAATATCGGGTTACGTTGCAAGTACAGCTAAGCCATCCATAACCGTTCGAGTCATGTAACAATAACTTATGTTTAACATGTGCAGTCGCTTTTTTAAGATTGTGGTTTTAAAACGTCGAAGCTCGTCTAAGAAAAAGAAATATTAAAAACGATATGTAATTATCCCATATATTATTAGAACTTCATGCATTTGTAAAGCGATCAGATGGTATTCAGACCCCAAAATTCTACCCGTCAAAAGGATTGTCATTCGACATTTTCCGTCCCAATCTTCGTTGATTGAATTCAATCAATTCAAAATTGTTGCGTTAGAAAAAATTGACGTGCATCATTATATTAACAAACCTACTACTACTGTCTGTACTCGCTGACGAGTATTTGACACGCATCAGAAGATGGTTACGCAAGGCGTTTTCTTTCATGAGCTTTTCGGTGACTGAAAAGCCCGATATGTGATGTTATCTGCTTTCCGCAATCCGTACATTCAAAAATCTCATTGCTTTGTTGCCTCTTTACTTTTTGGTTACCGTGGTTAATTGAGTTTAAAATTCTTCTCCATTGCGCTCTATTGTGCGTTGCCTCCTCCCACTGATTCTACATGCTTATCCCGCTTTAAGTTTTTTGGAAAATATCTTTGTACCTTTTGAGTTGTCCAGCCGGTTTCCTCTACCGTTTTAAGCGGGATTTAGTAATCGTGACTTCAGCTCTCATAGCTAGCTTTTTCAAGGACCGATACGTTTCAGACAAGGTGGTACCATCTGATTTTTAACAGTCATCTAAGGTGTCTTTTATGCAACTTGTTTAATGCGTTCATGTGACGGCGCGGCGCGGTGCGGCGGTACGGTACCCAGGTTTTGATTCCATATAACATAGTGGGGATTATTATTGCTCAGTACACTGACTTTAATGACTGTCTTTTAATTTTCAGAATGCTCTGGAGGCGCCGCTAATTATGTGCTGAATTTCATGAGTAGAAATTTCTAACATATAAATAACTATTGAATTTTGTTTGTCTCCGTGGACTAATGCTCATACAGAAAGGGTATTTACAGTGGTAAATAGATTGTCGATAGGTACAGAAAATACACAATCATTTCTACATTCTTTAAAATGCATGATAATTACAAAATGCAATATGACGGGGTCCGGCGAATATTTTGTTAAAAAAGTGAGAGATACTCTGCTCGTAAAAAGATTCATTTTTCCGAAAAGTAGCGAGTTCTTTCCTTTTGATTTTGGAAGCTCGGCCAGAATTTTATTCAAAAACCACTGTAACAAACTAACCTAATTAAAATTATTCATATACTTATCATATTCATAAAAATAAATCTGAATGGATTCCAGATGGAATGAATGATCGTAGTAGTTATACCGATGACTACTAAACATGTGTTGTGGTATTGCTTACATTCATTGCGAATCTAGTGTTATAACGGAAGAGGATTCCAGATTTTTTACGTCATTATTTTACTTCTTCTGTGAAACTTATTACTTTACTTTTCAGAGTCATATTTAACAAATCGTGAACAACAAGTTTTAGTTTGCAAAAGGGGAGAACGAGTAGTTTCTACTTCTCTCAATGTTTCCGCTGGAGTTCCACAGGGCTCAATTCTGGAGCCACTACTCTTCATTTTATTCACCGCAGACTTACCTTCTAATATTTCAACTTCTTACTATTTATATGCGGACGAATGTCAGGTATATTTGCCTATTTTGCCAACTAGACAGACTGATTCCATTGCAGAGATTAATGACAATTTAACGATAATCAATTTGTGGTCGAAGAAGAACGGTCTGTTACTTAATCCTGAAAAAAACGTTAGCAATGCTGATTGGCACTGATAGGCAGATGGCCAAAGTCCAAATAAAGGACAAAATTTATCTAAACGGAGTTCCCATAAGTGTTGAAAACTCATGTAAAAACCTTGGTCTCACTTTTGATAGTAATCTAACATTTAATACTCATGTAACTAATATTTTAAGAGCAGCCTATCGAAGGCTGAAATCAATTTACAGGTATAAGTTTGTGCTGGATGCTAAAACAAAGTTAAGGCTAACTGAGGCAACTATTCTGTCACTCTTTGATTATTGCGATACTGTGTATGGTCCTTGCCTTTCAGATATAAACCAAAACAGAATACAGATCATGCAAAATACTTGCATGAGATTCGCCAACGGCGTTAAACGTAGAGATCATATAACGCCATCATACTTACAATATGGTTGGCTAAAAATGAATAAGAGAAGAGAGGTACATTTTGCGTGTTTCTTACGTCAAATTGTTAACTCTGGGCGGCCGGACTATTTATATCAAAGATTGCAATTTGCCACTAACATTATTGAGCATCCCAGGAGGATTTCACTCTCTTCTGGAATGTACCACCACATGCCACCTCTGCTTTTAAGGGGTCCTCGCTTATTACGCCAGTTTACTTTTTAATTCTCCCCTAATAACTTAAAGACTATAACAAATAGAACTACCTTCAAACGGAAGGTAAAAAGATTACCTCAAAGATCTGTGGAGTGCTCTCTGATTTTCCCCTCTATGTTTTTGTGATTATTTTTTTCTTTTGTTAGTTTTAGTTTTTTGAATACATAATACATACCTTCATAATAATTTTTGTTACATATTTGTTTAGTAATAGAATAATAGGATTTATTATACATACATTTGTAATATTTGTCAGGTTGGGCCTAAGCAGCCTTGGCTGAGCCCCGCCTAATAAAGACTTTTTGATTTGATTTGATTTGATCTACATATAATTTTAGGAAATATTTCAGATAATTAAATTACGTTATCTTACACTCTCTGTCATTAGCTAGTTATGACCTGTTACTCACATGCTCTAAATAATAGAATTTTAGCAGTAGGAAAATGATACGCAGATAATTCGAAAACTGTCAGATTGGGGCTTAAACCAATAATACTAGAATATATACAGGGCGAGTCTTAAATAAGTGCAAATATTTTCAGGGCTGGTAGATCTCGATAAAAAAAAACATTTTTCTCTTTACCGTTTCTCAAATAAAACCAAAATAACTGAATTATTTTACTTTAAAAATTTAAAAAAAATGATTTTTTGGAAAAATAATTTGAGAAATCTTTTTTTGAGAACCAGTGGATCTTTTCTGGAGTTTCTTTCTTGTAAATGTAATCTACTACCTATGTTGCCATATTATCAAAAAATTATACCTTTTAACTAAAAAAACATTTTTTTAATTCGAAATTTTCAAAAAAAAAATATTCGCGAAAAAACCTCATAATCGTATGTTTGGGGTCAAGATATATTCGTATACTAGCTCTAAAACATTTGCACTTATTTAAGAATCACCCTGTATAGTCCTTGGGTAGAAACAAATTGAATGAAAGTAGCTTATATTTTTGACGTTATATACATATAAAAAATATCAAGAATGAAGGTTTTTATATGAAATAGTAGAAAATTTATAATTTCTAAATATATTTTTTATCATATACTAGCTGACAAAGCTTATTCTGTTTTTATTTCAAATATTATTATTTAAAATGAATTTTACTTCCAGATGATACCTTGGACTACTCTTCCCTATTCGCCGCCAACTTCCTGCGACGGAGGCAACATGGCACGGGCAGTGTTTCCACTGCTGCCGCCCTCGGCCTCACCGGCTACCGAAGTGCCCTCTGGGATTCGTCGATAGTGCCCCTCGATCCACGGTACCTGTCCACGTTGGCGGCTCAAGCTGTGTCCGCTGCGGGGGTCAATGGTAGTGAAGACACCAAAGCCAAATCTTCAGGTAAAGCAGACAAATAATCTCCATCAATAACATAACATATAAAAAAAAATTCTTGCAACGGTGTTCTTTCACTATGAAAAGTTGTGTATATAAATTGTTATCTAACTAAACCTATCTACATCTGTAGTGACCTTATCAATATTAATCCTAGTTGACACGGTCATAGTATACTTTCATCAAATACACTTAGACGCTGCGCTGCGTCTCATTTGGACGCCACTTGGGTCATATCAACCGATTTTAAATCAGTTGGTCCGATCCAAACAACGACCAAGTGAGACGCGCGCAGCATAAGTGTATTTGATCCAAGTTTTACCTAACATCCAAGTGTATTTGAACCAGGCTTTAGACATATTTATTTCTATAATAATTATAATGACTTATTAAAATACTTTAGTTTTAAGTGCACTATTTATATTTACCAAGGCCAGGTTGTTGGTAGGTTTCAGGATGAGTTCAGACTTAAACCAAGTTGAACTATCTTGGTCCAGAGCCAGTATTGGGAAAACCCAAATGTATTGCCCGTAGTGCACTAAAACTCTGGATTAACGAAAAGCAGAATGTCCACTGGAGGAACAGATAGGGGTACAGACACATTAATGCCTTTATTCAAGGGCCTAGCTCTAAAATCACAAAAGAACTGTTAATGCTTAGCAGAAATAAAGTGCGGTGTAGTTGTGTATTACAACAGGTCTCTTGACAGGACACGACATGTCTGGCAAATGTTACCTGAACAAGCTCAACCTATATCAAGGAAGTCTTTACTGCAGTCTCTGCGATAAAGATTCTGAAGCAGCGCCGCGGAGCACATATATCACTGCGAGACTTTGGATCACAAGCGACATTTTTAATTGGGGACAGCAAGGCTAGAACCGGTGGAACTATGCTCCCATCCTTTCAAGGACTTGCATAAGTTGATGCAGGGTACAGGGATAGGAGATGGGTACAGGGATTGTGTCTGTCTCCTTTCTATATCTGCGCCCAAGATATAGAAAGGAGACCGACACAATAGGCCTCACAGGTCGCAGTGTTTCTGGCGGAAGATTATTGACCCTTGTTATTGAAAAAAAAATTACTTATGGTTGAACCTCGGGTTAAATTTAGTTCAAAAATTATGTATCTGACTATTAAAATTGAGACAGCCATTTTCGAGGTTTACACTAGGCTTTTAATCATCTTTTAACCTCATACTACAGAAATAAAATGGCCGAGTTCAGCATTTTTCAGAGTTTACATGGACTCAAGTTTAAACTATATTTGAACAATCAGGGCTTAGTAATCGAAATAGTAGATAATTGTTTTATAATATGGTGTTTTATAATTATAGGTCATAGAGATAACTTAAGAATGGGATTATTTTAAATATAATTGTTATTGTATACCGTGTGGTGCATCGGAACATGGGACATTAGAAATTCAATGTTAATTTTGAAAAGGTCAGATATTATCTCCCAAGATTATTTTATGCAAATGTTGTATTAAACCTTTTTGAAGAGGCGTTAAAGTTGTAAACTGAAAAAAAGGATCTTTCAGTCGAAATGAATATGACTTTGACCCAAAAGATTGGCGCTTTTCAATAGGGCCAAGAATGACGTTTCTTTGCCCAAAGTATTAACTCTCTTTTCTTAAACTTTAAAAACTTACTTTAGAGAATAGAAGAATCTATCTGTCCAAAGTATTTCACTCTTAACCCAAAATTAATATGCAAAGAAGTTCTGGCTACAAGAACAATAGTCTCTTTGATTCATGCAAAAATTCTTGATTGAAAAGGGACATTTCTTGATTAAAGAGACACTTTTCTTAAACCAATAGCGAATACCATTGACACAACTAAAATTTATTTTGATCTAACGGAAGTCTATATATCATATACAGGCATACAGGCATATTACGAGGTATATTATTTTCTGATAAATTTAGGTTTTCCTAGTCTGTAGTAAGTAAAGTGATATTATTTTTCTCGATAGTAGGTAGTTATTTCTGCTTCTTAACTCCTTGGTATTTTTTGGGGTGGTTCATCACTCTACAAATTACAAAAAAAATGCTACATCACGGTTAATGAAAGTAAAGCAAACAAATTATTAAAATTATAAGCTTGGGTCACATTTTGAATTTTTTAATACGACGACTTGAAATTCTAAAATTTTTGTAATTATTTGCATAAAAAAATCGATACCTATATTCTTATTCTATCTATAGTCAGGCATGCATTATCTAAACAGGTGCATTAGGTAAATGTCTCTTACCTTCAAATAAAGCAAATAAATGCTCTAATTTCCATTTTTTTAGAAACTCCTTTAAAGAATCCATATATTCTAAAATTTGTCCATAAAAAATGACAAATACATGTTAATAACACTAATTTGTTTATATGATATGCGTTTAAAAAGCAAATTATGCAAAATTCCAAGTGGAAAATTCCAAGCAACAAAACCCGTGCGTAATATGATGTGCGACCTATCAAATGCGACGTGAGACTGATCGGACTGCCGACTGATTGTATATACCATCCTTCGTCATCGTCTTTGGCGTGTCGTTATTATTTTTCATCAAGAGAGTATTTAGCTATTGGAAAAATGGGCATGTTTCTTGAATGAACTACTTCCTAGCGTATTTTTGTTATCATCTTAAAACAAAGTAACTTGCACTTGGTTGAATGAAAATAGATTCAAGAGAAATTTTCTAATTTTTCAAGAGAACAAGTTTTCTTGAGTTAAGAGAGTTTTTCTTCAGGGAACATATTTTCTTTTACGCTAAAATAAATTCTCTTGCCACTAATTTTTTAACTTTTGTTCAAGTCTATCTTTTTTATCAGTGTACTTTTGTGTAGAATTATTTTCAAATAAAAAATTTCAAATAAATAACTTATTATTATCTAGATTCCTCATTTATTTTAAATAGTATACTTGTAGTAGGTAGCATTCCAAAACTGACATCGCCATTTGCACTGACTAGTTAGTTTCCGTCTGGATTTAACGCATTTTTTCAAAAAAATAACTTACTATTTTCTAGATTTCTTTTTCAATTTAAATAGTATGGTAGGTAGCAATTCAAAAGTGACATGGCTATAAGTATAGGTTCTTGTAAACAAAATCAAATTTATAACATCTACGTTTATTTAATGTATTGTGATTTTATATAGGGTATATGATTTATTCCTATAAAATCTGATGTATAATTTTCATTAAATGATATTAATTAAGTATATTATATCAGCCACGCCTATTAGTAAATATTGACTTACTTATATTTTTAATGCTTACTACACATCAATAAAATTTGTGATAGAAAATATTCTTACCACATGCACTTATTACATAGTATCGAAGATAATAAGTTGCATAAAACCTCAGTATTGTACTTGGATGATTAACTAACGATTTTGATAAACGAATTTGAGAATTATGTTGAAGTGAATAGGGATCGATTAATTTATTTTCAACGATCCAATCGACTCATCACCTTGCGATATTTTTTTCCTTATTTATCTGAAAATAATTCACAGATATATTAAGTATTTCTAAGTCGAAGATAACATTGTTTATTAAAATCTAAATTTATGGTTGTTTCAAAGTATTAATTTATAGGAGGCAGCTTTTTGACGTTTGTACATATTATAAAAGACTCTGTTGCGATAATTGTACCAAATACCAATGCCTTATATACGTCATTAAAAACCATGAGTGATACTGGGCGTTAAACCTATAGTTTTTTAACTGAAAAAATATTCTTGACTAACGGAATAGTTTAAATAAAATTTCATCACCATAGTTTTTTTCAAATTAGAATTTTCATCAAAATATCGACCTTTGTGCAGAAAATATCCTAAATAAAAATGACCCTCCAATACCCTATATCCCCGAAACAAAGCATTTTTGAACATACATTTATACAAACTTTTTTACCATATTTTTATCTGCAGAATATGTTACCGAAGTTTTCCGATTACCAATTTGGATCACCCTGTATATTGAACCAGCATTACTTTTTTAATTTGTTTGCAAAAGTCATGAAAACACGATTTGCAATAAATTAAAACAATTGTAATTATAAGAACGAACAAGTAACTTTTTATCATTTTTATTTATTTCAGTGGTTCAAAAAATATGATTTTTATTTAAAAAAAACCGTTGAAAAAATGCTGTAATTTTCAAAATATATAGATTTACACAAGATGGTTATGATTAAAATCGATTAACTTTTAAAAAATTTGTAAGTAAATAGTTTGAATTGTGCTAAAGCATAACCTTTATTTTATTCGAAGTTTAGAAATGGGCCGAGCATGGTAGATTAAGTTTGGGGGATAGAGGGAGCAGTAGATGCTAGTGGTTAGCGATGGGAACTATCGAATGAATTAGACTATCGAATGGTTACTGAATGAATGATTTCAACTATCGAATGGTTTTATTCGAATAAAATCATTCATTCATTTGTATACTAAAGCATATGTGACAACCTCGCCGTGCAACTAAATGGTTATCGTTGAGCCACGACTATCGAATGCTTTTAATAAATGAAATTTAGTATTCGTTTGATTTTTGTGTGTGTCAGGCGTCAGTGCATTATTAGTTCTTCCAAATTTTTATAACTTCACCTTATAAATACTGTGCTATTTTTGCGTTTATTAAAATATTTAAAATACTAAAATAGTAGTTTTTTTAATTGGCGATTGTGTGCGTGTGCAGATGTCAAAATTTTTCCGAAAATTTGTGTGATTTTTCGTAGCCCGATCTTTCAATTATTTTATTTTATATGGTATATATGGTCTATTTTTTAATGGGAAATTTTGAGAAGTAGCAATTTTTAAGAGAGATGAGATGAACTTAGAATTAATTTTAAAAATACATATTTGTATTTTAGATGTTTTAATAATACGAATTAGTTGAACTTAATAATCATATTTAAGTAATGTGATTAAGTAAATGGTTATCGAACTCAAACTATGGGGTGAGAAAATTAAATTGAAAGTTTTACACGTGCCAATTTAAAAAAAAATAACG